TAGATGGCCTTTAGAGGTCCCTTCCAACCCAAACTATTCTATGATTCAACATCATGTAAAACATTTCTGAAACCCTCAAATGATCCAACCTTGGGATTTTTAACAGTGAAGATTAGTGTGTCATTCTATTTTTGTGGCCAAGGATAATTAACAAAAAGCAGTTGGTGAACTGGTTGAACCTGTTTTATTTATTAATACTACAAAGAACAGCATTTCATTTTCAGTTTAGTGGTGTCTGTGGCAGAAAAGTAAGTTGCTGTTCAGAGTCGCTGAGTTTCTCAGGGTGAAATTGCTCAAATATGAAATTCAGTCATAGTTTTATTACTGAAATTTCTTTTTACTCTACTGGCTGCAGGGAAATAATGTCTGACCTAGTCAAAATCTGCTTCATCCTTTCACATTATCTGTATGTGAGAATACTACATACACTATGATACTGCAGCATGTGAGAGAGTAGATGGCCTGATTCTGAGCCAAGAAAAAACAATGCAGCTCCCAATGTTTCTGTAAACCTACTTGATTTTACATCATCTGCACAGACTCACTGTTGTCGACTCTTAGTTCAGAATATGCATAGTCACATATGATTATGCTGTGTATCATGAAAAATTCACAACTTAATCTCTCACACAGACAGAGTAACGGAGATTAACTGCTCATGCACAGGCTCCTGCTATCAACAAAGACCATTTGCTGTTGTCTTTTCAAAATGGTTTATTTTCTTTTCTAACTTATTTAGGCACGAATGAGCCAAATATATTAAACGTTTATAGGAATGTATAAATTCATCTTCAGAAAATTGCCCAACTGTTTATTAGAACATCTGCATAATATTTGACCGCTTTCCTTTTTGCATTGATTTTTATTACGCTTTCATTATAATAAAATTCAGTATGATGTTTGAAATTGATAACTTGATTTTCAAAGATAAATATCACACTTGGGATTTTTACTGTTATGTGGCATAGTATCAGAGAATGGTATTTGTTTTGCAGACCTGGATAAGGACAGATACCAATTTTTTAACATACTGACATTTGCTGTTTACCCAAATTAGTAAGCTGTGCTATGAGGAAGAACAAAATGAAATGAGCCTTATTTTTTTCTTACATTCCAGAAAACCATATTCTGGAAGATGTGAATAAGTGTGTAATTGCTCTCCAAGAGGGGGATGTCGATACACTGGACAGAACTGCGGGTGCCATCCGAGGCCGTGCAGCCAGAGTTATCCACATCATTAATGCAGAGATGGAAAACTATGAAACTGGAGTTTATACTGAGAAGGTACTGGAAGCTACCAAGCTGCTCTCTGAAACCGGTAAGCTTACTTGAAATATTGTTCGATATTAAGTCACTTAAAACTTTCAGTTAGTTCTCTGAAATCTGTAACTCAGAGGGGAACCTGTGCTTGAAAACAAGATATAAACAAACAAATTAATGACCGTGATTTTTTTTTTATTCTCTACTCAATGCTACTGCAGAAGTCATATTGACAAGAGCCGTATAAGAGAAGAGATTCAGTAACCCATCAAGGCTAGTCTACTTCATCAAAGTTTCAATGATTTGAGTAAATAATACACAGCCTTTTCTTCAGGTTCTTTCTGAGTCGGTTGAATTATGTATTATGTGTCTCCAGAAAATCATTACAAACGTTACTCTGTGGTCTGTGCAGGTGAATGTACTTGTTGGTGACTGAAGTTGTGTTTTGAAACTAAATGATTTTTCATTGAAAAACTGATTTTTCATTGAGCAACTGAAAATATATTACCTGATTGAAAAAATATATAAGTCTGCTAGATTATAGAAGTCTGCTGACCATGAGCCGGCAGTGTGCCCAGGCGGCCAAGCAGGCCAAGGGCATCCTGGCCTGTATCAGAAATAGTGTGGCCAGCAGGAGCAGGGAAGTGATCGTGCCCCTGTACTCGGCACTGGTGAGGCCGCACCTCGAATACTGTGTTCAGTTTTGGGCCCCTCACTACAAGAAGGACG